ATATTCAATCAAAAACTACGCGTGGGGATCATCATCATCTTTTCGGTCTCTGAAGGTCAATCTGGGCCTGCTGATCCTGATCCATGGGGCCAGTGGATTCATTTTATCTGTCATTTTAAAAAATGTTAGGTATGTGTGGTTTCCACTGCACATGGAAGTAGGGTAATTAGGGCAAGAATGGTTGCTTTGTAAATCATTGAGGAATAACAGTGGTGTTTCAGGCAAGGTTGGTTAATGCTGCTGTTTTAAAATTGGAGTTGGAGCTCCTAGTCCTCCTTCTACACCTTCTCTAATGGCACCCTTGTGCAGCCTTCTCTGTGCCCGCATCTGAGCTGCCCTCCCCCACCAATGACTCACTCCTCCTCCGTGCCACTGATCTTATTATATTTACCACATCGCAGCATAATCATCTGGATCGCTCCTGATCCCCCGTGAGACTGAGAACTCCTGGAAGCCCAGGCTCGTGCCTTAACGCATTATTCATCTTTGCGTCTAGCACATGCTGGAGGTTCCACACTTTTGCCAAAGGCCATTAAATCCAGACTCTGGAGGCTAGAGGAGCTTCTAAGGAAAAGGTCTCCTTTGGCGCATCCCTCTGTAAGACATGCCAGGTGCCCAAACACTACAAACCAGGTTGTGCGGAGCAGCTGCTTCTAGAGCCCCTCCTTTCTCGCCAGAGCTTCTCTGCGGGGCTGCTGGGTGCTCAACTGTCCTTCAAGCCTCCCCCGCCAGGCCCCAGGGAGCAAAAGATGTCAAGAAATGGGCTGCTGGGGCCTCCCCCATCACTCCTCTGCGTTTTGGTTCCTCATTTTGCAGAAGTCATGAGTTGAAACCTGAGTTCTGAGGTCTAAAATCTCTGACTCCTTGACCATGACCCCGCCCCCTTCCCACTCTCTGCTGAGCAGGCCTGGCCTGGCTGCCTTGGACCAGACCTGCACCCACACCTGTCCTCTGAGCTACCACTGTGACCTGCCTTTCCTTCCGCCGGAAGTGCATTTCTCCTGCACACACCTCTCTGCTGCTGCCTCCCTCTGTGCTCCGCTGCTGTACCCCATTCGGTGAATCAAGCTGCTCTCCGCGGCATTTTAGCTCGATTTCATCCCTGTAAAAATGATGTGATACATTTAGAACACTACATACATCCTGATGCTATTTATGTATTTTATTTTAAACTGCACCTGCTGGGTTTTTGTCCGTTTGCTATCAGATCTATTCTCTGCCACCCTCAATCTGGGCTGTGCATCCCTGGGAGCTATTTTCCTAGATGCCCTTACAGAGCTGGCCCGTGGTGGAACACTGAGAATGAGAGGAGGGGAGAAGCCAGGCTATTTCTCCCCTTCTCTGCTTCTGATGGTGTCAGGCAGCATCTTGTCTATGTCCCCAGCCCTGCTGTACAGCATCAGCACTGGGGCTCCACTAACACTGCCTTCTCCTTCGTCCCTTGAGCCTCAGGTTGATGGTGGGCTATCTCTGGCCTCTCACCTCGTCCATCACCTGTATTGAACTCCCTCTGCAACATCTATCACTGCTTCTGCCTTCTGATTAGACTCTCACCAAAACACTCTGAATGTGTTACACCTTTTTAAAAATAGCTTGACTGTGGCATAATTTACATATATAAGACCATCACTTTCATATTTATGTATATGTGTTGTTTAAATATTTTAGAGATCATGTACTCACTTATTGCTTATATAATATTAAAACAATATTTATAGCAGCCTTGCCCAGTGTTTCTCAGTGGTTTGGGCAGTGGCCTGTGCACCTAAGGGTCACGGGTTCAATTTCCAGTCAAGGGCATGTACCTGGGTTGCAGGTTCAATCGGCATGCAGGAGGCAACCAATCAATGTCCCTCTCTCACACTGATGTTTCTCTGTCTCTCTCTCTTCCTCCCTCCCTCCCTTTCTCCCTCCCTCCCTCCCTCCCGTGGGTTGCAGCAATCGGCATGCAGGAGGCAACCAATCAATGTCCCTCTCTCACACTGATGTTTCTCTGTCTCTCTCTCTTCCTCCCTCCCCCCCTTTCTCCCTCCCTCCCTCCCTCTCTCTTTGTGAATGTAGGTTATTTGAAGTCTTATCTACACTAATAAAAGAGAAACATGGTAATTGGCGTACGACCGCTACCCTTCCCATTGGCTAATCAGGGAGATATGCAAATTAACTGACAGCCAAGATGGCGGCCGGCAGCCAGGCAGCTTGAAACTAACATGAGGCTTGCTTCCTTCAGTGACGGAGGA